CACCACCACCCCCACCACCCCCCTCCCAGCAAGCGCACGGACACCCTGGCCACTTTTTTAAAAAAGCAGCAGCTTCCTTCCTTCGATGTGTATCATCCTACTTTGGGGTACTACTTTTAAAAATCGGGTATAGAGGTTATAGAACGGGGTATCTGTATGAGTTTTGTATAAGAAGCTACAAATAAGATCAATTTTGAGAAAAATCATGACGGTTACATGAACAAGGGAGTTCGAGGAAGATGAAGGACCTGAAAGTCACACTTCTTCTCCAATGCCTTGGCTCACGCCCAGAATTTCACTGGCAGCCTAGAGCGGTAAGGGAGACGGGGAAAAAAAGCAAAACCCAGAAAAGAAGAGGGGAAGAAAGGGAAGAGAAGAACCAAAGCCCTGGCTCAGCAATGGGGAAGCAAAGAAAATTCCTGCGGTTGGATTTTAAATGAGGCCATATTCAGTGACTGCCTTCATTTTGCTTTTCCTTCTTTATGGCACAAACCACCTTATTACTGCAATAGTATGAGAAGCTCCTAACCCATCTCTGCCTCCAGAATTCATTCTTTAAAATAATTCTCTGCAACCCACAAGGCTTGCATTCTGAAAATACCCCTTAACCTCAAAATTCCCACACTAAAGAACCAATAAGGACTCTAAACTGCCTGCTGGATCGAGTTCACACGTGAGCTTAGGAATCAAGTCCTTGAATGCAATTCAGATCAAAATACTTAACTGCCAACTGCATGTGAAAGCTGTGGAAGGCACAAAGAATATCAGTAAAGGAGGGAACTGTGAATAAATGGAACAAGGAAGGATTCAGCAAGTGAAACTTTCAAGGGTGAAAAGTTTAATTCCCACTAGGAGGAAGTGAAATCTTGATTCATGAACAAAGCCGTCATCCTTGACTGAAGTGACAGTAGGACTTGAAAAGGCAGAGATGGCTGAAATGATCATTTTCAAACAGGGGAACAAGAACAAATACACATGGCATGCTTAAGAAAGTATATGACATACCCGAGATAAAGCAAGAAGTCGTGTGCAGCTAAGGCACTGTTTCCCATGACACTGCATGATCTGGCCAATCTTGAGGTATCCTGCCTGGGTTCAATCCTGACTCCACCACCTCGTACAAGCATGGCCTTGGATAAGTAACATGACCATCCCCTGCCTCAATTTTCATGATTACAAAATGGAGATAATAGTGATAGTGCTGACTTCATAGGGTTGCTTGAGGATTAACTAGCATAATCCCCTAAGAAGACTGACTATTTGGGGCCAATAGGTAGCATAGTGGTTAAGGTGCTGGATCCCACATGGTTGACTGTGGTTTGAGTCCTGGACCCAGCATCTTGAAACTTACACTGGGTATATGTGTGCCCAAAATCCAGAGAAGAGAATGGAGGAAAAAGAATTGTGGCAATGGCATGGCCATCTGCCTATGATTTCCCACTTTCTGTCTCTCTGGCAAGTGCACATACCCTATAGCAAAAATCTACCAAAATCAATCAATAAATAAAAAGACTAGATGGCTCATGGTAAGCACTAAATCAACATTAACAATTATGGCACACCACAGAGGGAATCAGGGGCCAATTATGAGGACTATCAGTGCTCCTAAGTGCTCTTAACTTCATTCAACAGACTACACAGTGCAAAGAAATGTACCAAATCCAGTCTGGCATCAGAAAATGAATCCAATATCAATCTCACATAGAATGCACTAACTCCTGAGACTAGAGGTTGAGGCAGCTAGATCCCACATGGCTGACTGTGTGGTTTGTGTTCCAGATCCAGTAGCTTGAAAAACATGTGGGGTGCATGTGCATGCATGGCCAACATCCCAAAAGGAGAGTGAAGAAGTAGAGACTGCAGTATGGTCATCCCTCCTGGGTGGTGTTTCTCTATTTCTCTCTCCCTTTCTCTCTCTTCCTCCCTCTCTCCCTCCTCCCCTCCCCAGCGCATGCACCCCATAGCAAATTTAGGAAAATAAATTAAATCAATGTTAAAAATAAAGAAGAAAGTAGTTATGAAAGAATGTCACAAGCAAAAAATGCAATGTAGGAAGGAGAGAAAAGACCTGACATCTAAATCTTCAGTCACATGTGATTTCTTATTTTGCTGTTCCCTGAACACCTGCAGCTACAAGAGTTTGAAAGAGAGTTTGGAGGAGTGTTTAGCAACACCCTTTACAAATTGCTCATCAGCTGTTGTATGCATTCACACAGTCTCTTGCCAGTCTGCCAGTCTGCTCCTTCTTAGCGATGGGACAAGTTGATGCTTCATAAGCTACTTTCTCAGTAGCATAGAAATGGAGATATTATGCATTTCCGAGATCTATGCTAATGCTCCACGGCTTCAACTGTCAAGTAAAATATAATTTTTTTGTCATAGAAAACCATTTCAAGTTTGGCAACAAAGGAGCATAAATCCATTAATAATGAAAGCCATGTTAATTTAGGCTCTCTGAGCTGTAATAACCTGGGACACTCATGCACCACTCTTAGCCTCTTCCTATTAATTCACAGATGCAGCTAGTCAGCTGCTACCCCAAGGGAGGTACCAACACCTGGCATGCAACACATTAATCAGGCTGTTCTGTTGAATTTGCTATTTGAAAAGGTGAGGGCAAACAAGCAAATCCATAAAACAAAAGACAATTCTGTTTTTATTAGTCACCCACTGGTACCTTTATGCTCCCCATATATAACACAAGCTATTGTTCTCATCCATGGAAGACTTATAATGCTAATTATATATTTCTAGTCTTTAAAAGATGTAACAAACTAATTTAAAATTCTTTTTTTTAATTTTTTTATTTTTATTATTATTTTTTTTTTGGAGAGATTTTCGTTATAGGACGCATGCGCTTGCCAGACAGACAGAGAGAGACATAGAGACAGAAAGCGAGAAATCACCCCACAGGGGGGATGGTCACGCCGCAATCCCCTTCTCCTCCATTCTCCTCTCGGGATCTTGGGCACGCACACACACGCACCCGGCGTGAGTTTTAAGCCACCGGGTCCAGGACACGAACCACGGTCGACTACGTGGGAGTCCAGCGACATAGCCATTACGCTAACTGCTGGTTCCCTAAAATTCTTGATTGTAGCAAGCCAAAGAAATTGTCTTTACATACATATTTTTATAAATTGTCTTTAAATATTTGGGGAAAATTGAAAGATATCTACCTAAATGCTAAAAATGGTCATCTCTACATACTGGAATTTCCAGGGATTTTTACTTTTTCATACTTCCTTTTATTTTCCTATTTTATCGAGCACACAGTCCCTTAAAATCGGGAAAAAGCAGTTTAAACTTCTAGAGCTTCTGTATACAAAAAAATGAAAATCTAATAAAACTAAATAAGTATGCTGTATGAAATTATTTCTCATAGGTTATTTTAGTAATATAACTTCAGTCAAGTTATATATTTGACGTTTTGCCTTACAAAATAATTACACTCTTGGAAGAAAATAGAGAATACTAGAATAAGTCAAAGAACCACAAAAAGTTTCTTCACAGGGGGTGGGGAGAGGGGAACATGGACCTCATATAACCATCATATTGCCTAACAGGAGTTTTTCTAAAAGAGAAGCTTTCTGTTCACTAGACAGAGACCTTAGTATGTCTTACATGTAGGTAATAAGAACATTTATAACCTAATAATTCTCTTAAAAGCATATATTAAGATTTTAAGTAATAATAACTACTACAAATGCCATCTGTCATTCATCTTAGGGTATATTTTGTTTGGACTCCAAATGTTAAGGAACCCAATCTTCAGAAGATAAGTAAGCCTCACTAGACCCATCAGGAGACAAGAAGTCATACAAAATTCTAGATAGTCTAAAGTATAAATTAGTATTTAAAATCACTAGAAGCTGAAGATGATAGAGGGGCAATTCCATGTCCTTCCAGACCAGCACCTATCATGTGTATTAATTTCTCTTTGTGGAGGGACAATTACTACTCACATATATACGAGATATGGATCTAAAACCTTGTAAGTGACTCCTTCATCTGAAACCTGGGACTACTGAATAAGCGGTATGAGGCAAAACTATGGAAATGAGGAGATAGAGAAAACACCACCTGGACCCCAAGGAGATTAGTCCATGAAGTCTCCATAAACGCATGTCACAGAGCTATCTGGATCTGTAAACTTGGAGTTGGAAGAAACCCACTTCCTCCCAGATCTGTTAAAAATGAACCATAATATCATTTTGCACATTATCAGCCCAGGTGTGAATGCCTTGAGTTTAGAAACACGGTTTCCAGATTTAAATATTTATGTGTCTGAGCCACAGATGGGAGAGAACCTTCCCAAACTCACCTGTGATCTTGAGACTTCCCTTTGTGGTGAGTTTCTCCCTTCTCTAGACTCAAACAGTGAACTGGGGCCAGAAGTTGAAGATGGTGTGGCTTGAGAGGTGTCAGTCTGGTCTTGGGAAAGAGATGAGAAAGGGGGTGCAGGAGAGGGCAACCTCATCTCAGCTTCTCTTGCTGCTGTCTCCCTCTCCCTGGACGAGCTTGAGGCCAGCTGGCTCATTTCAGGTTTTTGCACAGAGGTGTTGACTGAATTGTTCTGAGTTCTCTTCCTGCCTTCAATGTCTCCATTATACTTCCAAGAATTATCCATCTAAATAGAAAACATTTTAAAGTTGATATTCAATTATCTCTATTTCTGTTTTAAAAACCTACTCACTAAATTAGAGACAGAACTCTGAACTAGTTCTCTTAATTGTTAAATAGTCTGTAGTATATTATCAACAATTTATTCATCTAATGTGCTTTTAAATCTGTTTAAGGTTTTCTGTCACTTTTAAAAATATTTAATCAACTACTCATGTTTTTTAATGAAGCTTTTATTTTTATAGCACAGATTTCCAAAGGTAGACTTGCTGGAAAAAAAGGATTATATCTATATTTATATATGTGTGTAAGTATATATATATATGTGCATATGTATGTTGTGTGCATGTGTGTGTGTGTATGTGTGTATATATAAATTTCTATAACCAAAATTTTATTAGTGATCTCCTGAAGTAATAAACAAGAACACTAGTTTCTCTGCAACCTCACCAACATTAGACATTTTCAGTATTTTAAATCTTTGTCAATCCACTGGGTAAGAAGCTGCATGCCTTATTTTTGTTCCATCGAAGTGAACATGTTTCCATGTGCATTTAGTTGCCAGGCATTTAAATTTTCTCTTCCGTGAATGAGTCACTCCTTTTCTATACCCATTTTTCTAGTATTTACCTTATCCTTGTCAATTCACAGAAGTGTTTCATGTCTTAGAGATATTAACCCTTTATCTATAATACATCTTGCTAATATCTTCTGAGTCTATAAATTATATTTTGATTATATTAATGATATCTGCCTTATGTTGTTAAATATTTCTATATTTTCCTTAATATATTGGTCATGGGTTTCCTGGCTAATTTAGGTTGGCTCCTCTCATCCCAAATATTCTAATTATCATATTTTTAGATTTTAGGAGTACGCTTTAGCAGAGCTAAAAGAAATTTGAATACTAATCCTCTTAAAACTATATTGCTTCCTTGCACATAATCCACACCAATGCGCCTGCTATCAGATATGGGGTGTCATTCATTTTCAGTAAAAATGTTTCAATAACTATATCCTTCAAAGTTGATATTAATAGAAATACATATATTTGAAAAATAAGATACATTTAAATAATTATAGTTAAACATATAAATTCTGATGAAGTAGGAAACTGGGAAAAAGAAATCTGTACATAGCACCTAAAAATATTTAGACTCAACAATACGAAGCCACTGCTTTTGTAATTCAAAAAGAACTGACTAGTGGGACCAGCAGTTAGCATAATGGCTAGGTTGCTGGACTCCCATGTAGTCGACCATAGTTCGTGTCCCAGACCCAGTGGCTTACACTCATGCCAGGTGCGTGCACGTGCATGCCCAAGATCCCAAGAGGAGAATGGAGGAAAAGGGATTGTGGCATGGCCATCCAAGCTGGGGAATGATTTCTCACTGTCTCTCCTCTCTCTGTCTTTCTGGCGAGTGCACGTGCCCTATAGCAAAAACCTCTCTCAAAAAAAAAAATGAACTGAGTATAAACACTTCCTATTGTTCAACCTAATACTTTTATTTGAGAAAATATAACACTAATAAACAATTCTCTGCTTTAGGTATAGCTCATTCATTCTTTAAAACATATTTGTTCTTCTTTCACAGAATTTAAGATTTACCTGATTCTATATCATAGCTATATTTTTAGCATTACAATATTACACCTATGTTGGCATTAAATTAAATTGCTTTATATATAAGTTATATACATTTTACATGTCAAATACACATAACTCCAATCTCTGCACAAGTTCACCAACAATTTGCCCTTCAAAACAGACTAAAGGAACTGGAAACATTTTTACCGTATAGGATCTAGGGAGTGATGAGATTCCCTTTGACTGAGAGCCAAAAGGTCTTGGTGTGACCACAGATGTCAACCTGGCCGTATCAGTTTTCTGGTAACTTCTGGGGAGAGAAGCTGAAACTCGAGTCAACTCCATTTGTGTACTCAGTGAATGCTGAGAGGACAAAGAAACTGGGCGTCCTTCATCCGCAGGGCTTTTTGAAGGAAGTTTAACTTCAGCTATTGCATCATCCTCTCTTTCTACAAAGGAGGTAGACTCTTCTTTAGGAATTTCTGAAGGATAAGTTGTTCCCCTCCCTTCTCTCTCACTCTGGTAAGTTGCTTCTGACATATTCAGTGTAGGGGGTAACTTTTCTTCATTCAGTACATCATCGAAAGAATATATTCTCCTCCTTGGTGTAATTGTAGACTGCTGGTCTCGGGATTCCCTGAGCAGAAAGAAACACACCATCATCACAAAACTATGCATTAGATACACAGGTGAGAGACCATAATTAACACATAAAGTAGAATGGAAGTAAAAGGACTATAAGATTTTAACGTTAATCAATACCACATAACGGAGTACAAGGGTAAATATATATAACTCATTTTTCATGCCACAACTAAGAAAAGGCCAAATCACAAAAAAAGAACATGACTTTATTTTATTAAAGAGGCTGTCAGCTACTTCATAGGTATATTATTATATTTTTTTATTTTAAAGAAATTTTAATAGCAAAATAAGGAAAGTCTAATGAGGGATAACCACAAAGTGTTATCCATAAATGTATTCATTACTCTTTCAAGATTAGTTTTTAAAAGAATTATTAATTTATTTACTTCCATTTTTTATTATTATTATTTTTTAATTTGGCTAGAGAGAGGCAGAGAGAGAGAGAAAAAGGGAAAGTAAGAAAGCAAGCTGTCAGGTCCAGGACTCGAACCATGGGTGGCCATGTGAGAGTCCGGTGGC